ATGCATTTTAGATCTCTCAGGAAATAAAATTTGCTGGAAAATAATGAATGCAACAAGAAATGCGAAACAAATAATATTATTGAAAATTCTATGCAAGTAGACATGACAGGCGCTATTATGAATTCTGGCATGAATGTTGAGAGTGAGTGTAATTTAGAGCGTAAATTTAATGAAACAAATTTAAATGATGTCAGTCAAAATATGATAAAACAAAAAGAACCAGTTTCAGAGGAATCCATCACAAGAATTGAAAAAACAAGTATGAACAATATTATTGAAAATTCTATGCAAGTAGATATTTCTGCAGGCCTTATTATGAATTCTGGCTTAAATGTTGAGAGTGAGTGTAATTTAGTCTGTCAACTTGATGAAACAAATTTAAACGATGTCAGCCAAAATATGACAAAACAAAAAGAACCAGTTTCAGAGGAATCCATCATAAGAATTGAAAAAACAAGTATGAACAATATTATTGAAAATTCTATGCAAGTAGATATTTCTACAGGCCTTATTATGAATTCTGGCTTAAATGTTGAGAGTGATTGTAATTTAGCTCGTAAACTTAGTGAAACAAATTTAAATGATGTCAGCCAAAATATGACAAACAAAAAGAACCAGTTTCAGAGGAATCCATCACAAGAATTGATAAAACAAGTATAAACAATGTTTTACTAAATGGATCTTCAAAAGTAGATATTTCTAATTTTAAGAGTGATGAAAAGTACCTTGGGGCCCAAGGCCAAGTTGAATATTGTAATATTAATCTTTCAAAAAATTATAACAAAGAAAATGCTTTATCCGAAGAGCCATGGTGGGTTCGTAAAAGTGTAGATGAACCTCTTGATCCTGATTTTGAAGAATTTGTGAATACTGATGTTCACTATTGCATAAATAATAAGAAGTTTAGTACAGAAAATAAATGCACAGTTCCCGAAACATACAAAATAAGTGATAAAGGTCCAATGTACCTTTTAATATCTGACATATCAAACTTAAAACTTAGCACATACAAAACTAATTATACACAGAGTCCTTGGTATGAATTATATAATCATATTTTTAGTACAGTTATGTTTTATGGTTCTGTGGTAAGAGTTAAAAAGCATGTCAAGAATAATTTATATACAATAGATGATGGTACAGGATATATTAATGTCCTATTAAACCACAAAAATAAAGAAATGAGATCGAAAATAAATGATTTAAATAATTTAGAAGCAGAATTAGCTTCTGCTCAAGTGAAAGGTTTGCCAAACATGTTACCTGACTCGAGGCATGGTTCTATAGCAATAGAATGTATTGAAGCAATGAAAAGACTCATGGTTATCATTAGGCAAAGAGTTAATAAATCTCAGAGAGAATTTGAATATGGTGACAAAGTTCATGTAATAGGATTCCCAAAAAATACTTTTGAAACAGAAAAATGGGTTGTCTATGCATTTGCAATGGAGCTAGATGAATCATTCGGACAAGCAGAACTTTTTTGGAAAAGGTTCATCATTTCAATGTATGAGCATATTTATTTAAAAAAATCTAAAGATAATTAGAATGTTTGTTTTAAGTTTACTCAAATGTGATATTAAATTTAATTAATAAAATAAAAGTAATGAAAAATTGGGAACATTAATCTGAATTGTTTCCATTGGAATATAAGGCAAAAAGAATATTTTCTTCTCCAAACTTGGTGATTAAAACATGTTTAAGACATTGCATGATTGCACCTGATATTTGCTATTAAAACTAATTGTAAGTGGCATTTTACGTTAAGGCAAGTTGCATGAAATATCCAATTCATGTAAATAATCAACTTAATTAATAAAAAGTATGAGATTTGGCTACTTATATAAAACTTTTGACTGTTTATTCTGAAATCAACATTTTTACATTTAATAATAACTAATCAGTGTGATTTGCAATTAATATATTTCAAACATATTTATAATATCTATAATAGTATTCATTATATATGAAACACAAATATGAAAGAAATTTTTTGCATTTGTCTAAAGAAACGGCTCGGCAAACTAACTCGAATTCTTATAGAGTTTTGAAAGAGCTTTGAGTCTTTTTTGAGAAAATGTTCTGAAAGGATTAAATTTTGGCTCACATTACAATAAATTCAAAGCTCAATTTTTCATTTTTAAATTTTGAAAATTAAACGACTCATATTGTAGTATATACACTAATATCATGATTTCTCTATTATTGTATAAAGTTTCATCAAAAAAAGTTTCAATCAAAAAAATATTTTTAACTAAATAGCACGGTTCCCAACCAAAATCTTTCGTATAAGTTGATAGTTTGGCCGATCATCATACAAAACTAATCAATGCTTCTTCTTATTCAAATACATTAATAGTCTTTTTGATTTGATACATTGATAGCCACATATACTTTTTCCAAATTTGGTCTCGGACGATTAAGAAAACATATTATACTCTCGGTTAAATGTAATTAAGTGTAGGGTTAAGAATATAATGACTTGAAACGTCGAGAAAACATGAAATTACAAATCTGATTTTCTGGCAAAATCAACATTCACCTTCTCCGAGAAGTGATTAATAATCTTTTGTATTTTTCAACTTCATGATGTAGATGAGTTATAGTAATCGCAAAAAAATCGAAAATGAAAATGTTTATATATTTTTACGTTTCAGAGGTTTCTGAACATTTTGGCATACCTTAGAGAAAATTGATGTTTGTGTGTGTGCGGATACAAATTTTCGTCGATTTCGGGAACACGGTTCAACCGATTCCAATTATCCAAAAAATATTCGACTGCTTTTGATAAGTACACGTGCTGATTAGTTTTTGGCATAGGCAGGTCTAGCCGTTTCGAAGATACAGGGCAAAAGTGCCACAAACGGTAACTCAGTTTTTAAGAGAACCGAGTGTCTGATTTTAATAATTCAAAGAACATTTTACTTGTATTGCCAAGATGAAGAACTGATTAAATTTTCATGAAGGCAGGTCTAGCGGTCTAGAGATTTTAACAATAAGTATAAATTTTATTTCCTATGGGTTCCGTACCAATGTTTATCGGTTAAACGGCGCTTATGCGCTTCGATATGCATCTCTATATCCAGTTAAAGCAGTACGATTGCTTTTTAATATCTTAAAATAAAGAAAACATTTTTTTTCGAAGTCTTTTTAAAAAGTAAAAAAAGTAAATTTAGTCGAAAATTTATAGTTTGTCAAAAATCTATTCTTTTCTAGATAATTTTTTTTTTTCCAAAAAAAAAAAAAAATTTGGTACGGGAAGTTCCAGCAAGTTTCCTTAAGGCGCGATGCCATGCGCCCCGCCATGGTATTCTAGTGTTATGAACACATGGTGTTCTAATATTTCCTAGGCGCCCCACTAGTTATAATTACTAGAGTTCATATTTATAATTACTAGCAAAAATCCAAAGCACGTGGTCATAGTTTTGGACTTGTCAAAATAGTCTATAAAAAATAAAGATCTGCATAGTAAACATCCATCAAATGGTTCGCATAAAAACAGGCGAAATTGACAAATAAATATACTAGAGAAGACATTTCACATAGATATAATTATGTTATGTGAGAAAATATTATGATATGGCAAAAATATCTGTAGTAAACACATGTACGAAAGCCAAAAATGTATTATCGTTGAGGACAAACGATGCTCCCACGATTTGGTCTTCCCTGAATGGAATTATTAACGTTTTCAAACCTGCTGGAATCAGTGTATTTCGTATCAGCAATACAATTATTGCTAACATTTGCAGAGGTAATTATTAACTATAAATTATTTTGATTTTAAGGTTAGGTTATTTATCATTGCGGTTATTGTAATACCAAGTTATTAGGGAAATGTTGATTGAAGAATGCTTTCATTATATTCATAGAGTTTCAACAATATATGTGAAATTCATTTGCAAATGAATGTTTTGTCTTGCAACAATGTAGATACTGAGATTGACGTATGTTTCTATTCCTTTTTGATAGCAAAATGTTTTGAAGATAACTATATTCTAAAAAAATTACATGAAGAATTCAAGTCTTATTCGTTTTCATCTAATAAGCATACTTGTTATCTTGGAAAATTGTACAAAAGTAGAAAAAATACAAAGCTCATCTAAGTCATCATCCAAACCAATTAGTATGTGACCTGCTCAATCCTTTACCGCGAAAGCGTCTCAAATGCAATGATTTACTACATCAAAACATATAATATCTAAGAAGGTGCTATTGCAGGATAACGATCCTTTTACGCTGTCAAATAAAATATACATGTAAAGTAACTGAATGTGATGTATGTATGGTTTGCTATGTACAATAAAAAATAAAAAATAAAAGTAGAAAAAAAAACATTTTGACCATTATCACATTGTTGACCCTTTTTGAAACTTTTGATATATCATCATTGGAAAATATTGTCCAGAAAATCTTGTTGGAAATGATGCAGGCACTCTATGCGGTTTGAATTTTTTTGCTGGCTTTTGTTTTCTAAATTATTTAAAACAAAAAGCTTGTTGAGATCATTCAACTATAATACGAAAACTTCAGTTTGCCAATTTTTATACTTTTTGTCATCATTAGTTACAAGATTTAAATAACTTATTATATTAGAGTGTTCATTTAGTATAAATATAATCTTTTTGTTGTTTGTTAATAAAAAATTATTTTTATTAGATTTGAACGATCAACATGTGAGACCTCCAAGGAAAATAGTTGCAATAGACAACAAAACAGATTGTTATGAAGTTTCTGTAAGAGAAAGTTTTGCTGATAACACTTTGGTAGTAGGGCCGAGATATCAAATGCAAGATGTGAAGATTAACCCAGCTGCATCATTAGGACGAAATACAAGTGGTTTATTATGTAAGTAATGAATTCATGAGAATTTAATTTAATGCAAATATAAAATTAGTCTTTTCAAGTTTTGTAGCTTACGATAATTTAGTTCTTTAGTTTTATAACTTAAGATATTTTGTTTTATCACTAAGTGTCTCTGTGCCACATAATTCTTCATAACCTGCACCTAGAGCATTGTATGTACAGTAATTCTTTTTAATATTATATTAATTATATAATGTTTATATTATGTTTATTATATAATATTTATATTATATTAATTATATAATATTTATATTATATTATATTAATATTAATTTATAAAATGATCAAGTTTGAGATTAAAATTTAGATTTTTTATTACCAATTTTAAATCACTTTTTTGTGAAAAAATTCAGAGTTTTCATATCATTTACACTAAAATAAATCTTTAGCATTTAATATTTGTTCAATCCGCTACATGCTGATATAAAAAATTAATAGGATTTGCATTCCCAAATAGTCTGGCCTCTTAAGACAAAATGCAAATTCTAATCAAGTATTTTGAATTAATGTTTAAATTTTTAAGGTTGGTTTATAACATTTTCTTTTCAATTCTCTTATTATAGTACTTGGGGTTAATAGTGGTTGCAAATTGGCTAATCTGATATATAGAAACAAACCGACAAGAGCATATCAAATTACCGGCAAGTTTGGAGAAGCTACGGATAATTATTTTTCTACAGGCAAAATAGTGGAAAAAGCTACTTATCATAGAATACGCAGAAGCAATATTGATTCATTACTCGCATCAATGCAAGCATCACACCAAAAAAAAATGTTTGAGTATGTATGATATGCTTACCTAAATGTTTATAAATACTGCCATTTGGTATAAAATTATATTTATATAATAAACAATGTGAATTTACAAATTATTCATTAGAATAGATCAAATTTACATATTACTTCAAATGAATTTTAGTTTAATTTTTCAATATTAAGTTATCTTATGTTATTACCACATATTTGTATATGAAAATAATTAGCATTTGTATTATTATTTAGGCAATGTGGAGTTGATTTAGAATCTCAAGCGGCATATGAACTAGCAATAAAAGGTCCAATCAGACCAGCAGAATATAAATTACCTGTTGTGTATGGATTAAAATGTATAGATTTTTCCCCACCATACTTTACGATAGGTGACTAGATACTCTAGTATTTATTAATTCTAACATTATATTTTGCATTAAATATGTAACTGCTTTCAGAGGTACAATGCATAAATGAATATGAGCAATATTTAATGACATTGATACATGATATTGGGTACCACTTGCATTCTGTAGCACATTGCAATAAAATCAGATGCATTAGACTTGGACATTTCCGAGTCGATGACTCATTGTTAAGAGGATATTGGAATTTACAAGGATTTACTACTTCAATTACTATGTCAAACAAAATTCTAGAGAAACATCCAGAAATGTTGAAACAATATGAACCTTCTTTAGGTTAAAAAATAATCAACTACAATGAATTCAATACCAAACTGTTATATAGAAATGTAAGTGAATGATATTTATTAACCATAATATAGTTAAACAGTTATTTAAATGAGTTTTTTTTTTAAATTAGTAATGTTTTCATATGAATAATAGCATGTAATGACTATTGAAAACAAAATGTTTTATAATGCTTTGTTATTATAAGCTATGTAGATCAATAATTGCTTAATGTTTTAGGAAAATGGTTTCAATTTTTATTATTATTCAATCATTATAATTAAAATTTAACTTTACATATATGTGTGATACATTAATGTTCACATTAATTTTAAAAATAACTTTATTCGTCTTGCTATATTCCATAGTTTGGATGTTATTCAATTTATTGATTCTGATTCTTTGCCTTAGTAAATTTAATATATTTAGCTATATTTTAATTTAGCAGTAGAGAATGTTTGTTATTCATTAAATTTACTAGAGTCGTTTACAACAGAATTTTCTTTACATTTGATTAATTTCAATTACACTTTTTAGATTTAGAGTTACGAGTATACAATTATTCCTTATTTCATATGAAGAAAAAAATGTTGAACATTACTTAGGTTTGCTGAATAATAATTTTTTTTTTGAAAAATAATATTTTTTTCATTTTTATTTTCAAATCATTACTATTTTAATGTTGTTTGATACAATTCATCACCCCATATGAGTTTTTTTTTTTAGAGATTTGAATTGAAAAATCACATTAAATGTAATTATTCTAAAACTTCTGAATATTTGCCCTATATTAAATTATGGAATAAATTTTTAATGTTGATTTCTTATTTTCAAGAATGAATCACCTTGTGCTCTACTTACTTACTTTCACCTGACAGGTGAATCCAGGCAAGGTTACTTTTATCTACATAGACAGCCATATGTTTCTAAATCTATTTAATATTAAAATTAATTTAACTTAGCATGTTGTATGCTTCATTTTTAGGAATTATACTAATTTTCAATTTATTTGAGTGCACATTATGTTTTACCTTGAATGCTCTCATTTCACAAAGTGGTTTGCATGGGGAAATTCAATTTATTCAAAAGGATGCACAGATTACAGAATTGAAAACAAATTTACAACCAACTTTAGAATATCCTGAACAAATTATTACTTGGTCTATTTATGAATTTCCTGTTGATTATTCAAAAATTGAAAATAGATGTGATGAAAAAGATTTGGGCAAGAAAATATTGGATTTAGAAAATCTAATTGGTTATTTGACAATTCCTGAAAATAGTACGTCCTCTTGGCAATTACCAGTCAAAATAACAGGTGAAGGAGGAATTTGGGGTAGAAGTATAGTTTTAAAAAATGTAGATAATAATATGTTATCGTGTGGTACGATAACCTCTAAAGACAAATCCATTGAACGCACAGCAGAAGCTCGATTTTATTATCCTGTCTCTGGTTCTATATATTTTCGATGGATTGCATCAGCAAAATCCAATAATGTTGATATGTTAATCTATACAAATTTATTTCACACAAAACCAACATCAGGCAAATATGGCAGGCAATTCACAGAACATAATTGGAAAATCTATGTAACAGATATATTTGATTTTAAAGCTGATAAAAATGAAGAAAATTGTAATGCATTGCAAATTGTTTATGATCCTGATGATAAAGGATTAGGTAAAGGTATTGGGGATGTAGATAAACGAGTAGGAAAAATTCATGTTGCTGCAGATATAACAAAATCTTCACAAAAAGTTACATACCGAGATTTTGCTCTTTCGGCTTTATCAAGTGCTATTGTGGGGGAACAGAGGAAATTGTATGTGGTAATTTTTGAAGATCAACATGCTGATAGTTTTTTAGCATGTTCTAAGATTCGACTTGTTGACTATACTATGGCTGGAGTTGTTTTAAAAGATAAAGAAATTACAATGACACAGTATTGGAAGTATGAGCCTACATTTGTTAATTTTACATTTTATAATTATTCATCTGAAATTGTTTATGAATATAATATACATGATTTACCTCCGCATCCTAAAATGATTGGAACAACAGAGTATTGCTCAACCTCTGGTCGAATATATGATCCTTTGCAGAAATTGAAATCAGGTAAATGTATAAGATTATAATAAGATATAATTGAATGGAAATATATATATGTATATATATATATATATATATACATATTTAATGATTTTTATTAATTGCTTTATTAAATATTGTGTTATTGTGTATATAACTTCATCATATAATTTAAAGGATTTTTCTTGGGTTCATTTTTCTTAGATAATGTTGTACCTCCTCCTGGGTATGGCACACAAGAGCAATATTCAATTGGTGATTTGTATGGAAAGTTTGCTCCGAGAAATGGGGCAATAAGTTTACCTGCTTCAAACCACTTTTACTGGGACACATTTTTACCTTTAACTGGAATTCACAGTGTGGTTCATAGGAGTATAGTTGGAACAGCAAATGGAATAAATGAATGTGCAACAATTCTGTTGAGAGATGGGCAAGGAAAGCAAGCTCAATTGTTTACTGCTAAGATACTTTTCAGGTAATTTATTATTTGTTTTGTTGTATTGACATGTACTGCTTGTAAAATGTGAATACATGCAAAATATTAAAATAAGAATTTAAATATTAATCATTATATTCATTTGCTAATAAAAATAGATCTATATATTTGGATTATTGTAGGTATCCAATTGTTGGTCATATGTTATTCCGTCAACTCAAAAACCATCCTTGGGCAGATACAACAATACTTGTTGAATATTTAACACATGCTGATGGTAAAAGCACTAATAAAACTGGTGATCACCGGTGGGCAGTGCATGATAATCCACCAGGGAGAGATTTTTACAATTGGACTGGAAGGTACTATAGTAAATATCTATTTAATTCTTTTGCAATCATTTTTGATTCCATTCATTCTAAGTGATCAATATTTCATTTTGTACCCGCTGTTTGTTATAAGTTTGTTTGTTATATTATTTTTGTTTTTGTTTTATATTATAATCCTTGCAGATTATTCGCTGGGCGAAATGTAATAATGTTATCTCTCATATCTCATATATTATGTTAACAATGTCTGCTTATTGATTTCATTAACAGTTATAAAAAAATAATATATAATAAGAAAAATATAAGATTATAATTATGAAAAAATGATGCACAAACTACAAATCATTTGAATTATCTATACATGAAAAGAATCTTAATTAAACAATTTACTTATTAGAACATAGAATGATTTTGCCATTTAAGCAACTTTGGTTTTTATTAAAGTATTTCATTGAGTTTTTATAAAACTCTTTGTTATTATATATTAGATAGTTAATATATATTAGGTAAAATGAACTAGGATTTAGGATAATCTTAATAGAATAGAGTTTATTATACAGAATGTTGCACATCTTTTAAGCTGAGATCTTGAATGGAATAACTGAACCTTTAAAACAATGGTATTCCTGTAAGACTAAAAATGTCTGTATTGGTGATTCTTAGCGCGTTTAATACGAAAAACAATGTCTGGCTGGTTTCAGCCCTGCACATCATTGTCGGCCAGGAGTTTGAAAAAGCAGAGAAAAAACGAAAATTACTGATAATGTACTTTGATGATATTTTTTAGGGTTAAATAATGTTTAGCTGTAAATATATATTTTTATAGGGCATAATATAATGAAATTATTTGAATTATTCATATCAATTTTATTTGCAATATTTGCATATAATTATTATCACAATTATTGGCTACTTAATTTTAGAATTATTATTTATTTAGGTGTCTAAGTGCTGGCAATGTATATAATCCCTGGAATTCTTTACCAAGTGATGGTCCATGTTTTCTTGAGACATGCAGGGTAGGTGATCTGTCTGGGAGACACGGATCACTAACAATAGCTGGTTCTAAAATTGAAGCTCAAAATATTACAAGGTAATTTAATATAAAAATCTATATTTAAAAATATAATATTGTATGCCAAAATATTTATGTAATAATTTGAATGCAAAATATGTTCACCTTATAATTTTTTGTTTGCTTTACAAAATTTTATGCAGGTTAAATTTATATAAACTTTTTGCATATGATATTTTAAAAGTGAAAATATTATTAGTTTCTAATTAAATACTCTGAATATATATTATAGACGTTTGTATACTGATACTCTGCTCCCATTACAAGGACCTCGAAAAGTTCTTGGGAAGTCTCTTGTTATTTATGATGATATTGGCACTGCTCTGCGTGGCGATCGTTTAGCTTGCGCTGCGTTTGTGCCAGTTTATAGAAGAAAAGCTGTGGCCAAAGATTGGTTTCCAAATGGAGGGCCCATAAAGGTATTTAGGTTAAATTATGAACCTATGATACAAGTATTATTACACAATTTAAAAGTTTTATGAATTATTTTTAAAAATTAAGTTATTTAATGCTAATAATTTATGGTTGACTTTGACATTGGGTTATTTTAGCTTGCAAGACGAAGTACATAGAATATATTGTAATTTTTTTATTTATTTTTTATATTTTTATATATTAAGTTTTATGTAATAAAACTGGTATGTAGGTATTATGACTATTTCTCTAGAAAATTTAGTTTAGTTTATTTATCTTCTATTACTAATATTATTAATTAATAAAATATCTTCTAATACTAATAGTTCTATTAGTTTAAAGGTAAAATTGAAATAACGCAGCAATCAGAATATGATAGGACCAACATCGAAATTGAGTTAAGTAATTTAGATAGCAGAGATTATAACAACTATTATATTCATGAATCTCCTGTGGAGGTTGATCTTGAATTTCCATGTGAACCAGAAACTTTAGGTGGTACTTATGATCCTTTAAAAGTTAAAAAGAAAAATACTACATCGGCAGGAGAGTATGCAGTAGGTGATCTTAGCAGTAAAATTGGGCATCTTGACAGGTGAGTTTTTAATTTAAGGATTTTTTTTTAAATCACACCCCTTTATATAAATATACCTGAATCATTCTATTAGTTATATATAACTTTTCAACTTCAAATTTTGCTATACTATGGCTGCACCTGCTGAATCCAAAAATGAGGCGGTTTTAAATATTATGCTTATGTATGTATATATTATGTTTTTCTAATATCAAAATTACGAGTCTAATGGATTTTTAAAATTACTATATTTTGATCAATTGAATTTTAATGATTCATTTTTTTTATTTAATATTTTTTTATTAATATTTATTTACATATATGTATTTTATTATTGTTAAATTTTTCAGCTTGTTACTCATTTCATTCAATTAACTTTAATTATTTATAATAGCATGTATTTTAACTTTCAAGTATCATTCCCATTACTTAATTTTATGATTTTAACCCATTATGTTTTGTTTATTATTTTGTTTTTATTTATATAATATAGGAAAACTGAATTTCATGCTACGTACAATGATTCAATGCTGCCCCTTTTTGGTTATTCTGCTGTAATCGGGCGATCAATTGCTATTCATGGTCATGGTAAATATTTGCTTTCTTTAAAATAGTTGAAATTAAACATAATAAATGAGTACGAAAGATTAATTTCTGGTTGATAAATCTATTTTTGGTTGATAAATCTATCTAAAAGTATTGTGTTTCGTATCTTTATAAATTATTAAATTATCTATGGATATGATGTGAATTTGTCGAAGTTTTATTATTCACCACGAAGTGTGAATTAGTTACATTTCAAATTTGAATCATTGAAATAAAAAAACAGTTGATCCGTTCCGCTCCAACATATGAGTTTCTTCAAATTCTCATAAGATTCATACTGAACATGTGATATTTGAAGCAATGAATATAAGATTCAGCTAAGCAAACATCAACTTATTTGAGTAATTCTTTTGAAGTTCTAATTTAAATTTAAAGAGTTGATGAATATTTGTTGCCCTTAGAATTATATAAAATATTATTTCGTTACTTTTGAATTGTAGGGGAACAAATCGGTCAAAAAGATTATATCACTTATAAATAATTATTTATTAACTTCCCGCAGGGTAGTTATAGTAATGGGCCGAAATTCGAAAATGAAAATTTTTGCGTTTCTCCACGTTTTGAAAGTTTCTGAACATTTTGGCATACCTCAGGAAAAATGGATGTGTGTGTGTGTTTTGTATGTCCGCATTTTTTCTTCCACGTTTTCGGGCGCACGGATGAACCGATTTGAATGGTTCAAAAAACATTCGATTCCTATTGATAGGGAGATGTGCTGATTAGTTTTTGGCAAAGGCAGGTCCAGCCGTTACATAGCAAAGAGTGCAGAAAATACAAATCGAGTTTTTGAGAGTACGGAGTATCCGATTTGAATGATCTAAAAAACATTAAATTTGTAATGATTGGGAGAATAGGTGATTAGTTTTTGAAAAAGGCAGGTCCGGCTATTTTGAAGATACAGAGCTAAACGTGCAAAAAATGGCAGTGTTTGAGAGAATTAAGCGTCTGATTTGAATGATTCAAAGAACTTTCTGCTTGTTTTAACAAAATAGTTGCTTTTGGAAAAAAATTTTTTTGATTCAAATCTTTTTTTTTCAATTTTTTTTCAATTTTTTTTTTTATTTCGAAAATAATTCAGATTTTAATTTTAATTCTGACTAAAGTTCTAATATACTTTAAACAAATAATTTTAATATTGCAGTTCAGTTTATATAATTCTTATAAATATTAAAAAAATTACAGTATTTATTTATAATAATCTATTTGAAAACATTTAATATTCCTCGAACATTTCATTACGAGGTTATATTATTAACTAGTTATATTATTTCAATAATTGTTTAATTTTCAAATCATCGTACGCACTTGATACTTATGATACATACAAGAAAATTTATTTAGATATACGTATGTATAGATATGTCTAATTTAATATGGACAATAATAAACAATTTGTATTTTATAACATGCAATTCGAATTAATAATTAAGAATGAAACTGTATTTATCACATTTCCTAGGCTTGCAAGGTTTGGGCACAACACAGGTCCATGATGTTCGACGAGCGTGTGCCACCCTGGAACGAGGCTACAGTCCTGGTGAAGCGCGCGAACTCAGAGCTGTAGCTTCGTTTCATAATCCTGCTGGACATGCTTATGGATATGTTAGGTTTTCTCAACTAGTCTATGGAGATGGTGAAGAAAGTGATACAATTATTGAGGTTGTTGAATAACAAATTTATTTATATTAAATTTAAAAATGTATTAGATAAGTGTTCTAATTGAGTAATTTCAATTAAATGGAAAATTATAAGGGGTAGATATCCTTATTTTAAATTACTCTTGTTGCACTTTTATTGTATAAAATAATTAAAGATTATCTACATAGTTAAATAGTTAATATATAAATATGATATAAGATTTGAATATCAATTTGTAGGTAAATTTACGCCATCCTGGAGCACATGATCGCAACGTATCAAGAGGACACCGCTGGCAAATTTTTGTAAATCCTGTTGGTGTTGATGCCACTGTTAAAACTTTTGCTACTCGATGTGTGGCTGGAGGATATACTTGGAATCCATTTTATACCCAATTAGCTGATCCTCAGAATACAGAATTGTATGCATATTATTACATTTATTAAAATATAGTGGTATCATGCAATGCATCAGTAGAGTCTGCACATAACGACTGCGTTTTTAAGGTTTTGTTAGATAGTTTTTAATCACACATTTGCTTTAAGGGGGTATTCTAGTATAGAAAGATCAATTTTAGGTCATTTTTAAATTGTTGCAAAAAAAGCGATCATTTTTTTTGACTATCATTTTTTTGGACATGGACGTGACCATGACCAAAATGCAAGCCTTCTAGTAATCCAAAATCAAGAAAAAGAAAATATTATTAATCTAAAATGATGTCGTAATGGTATATACTAGGGTTAAGTTTAACAAGTTTTTTTTTAATGTTTCTTACTACTTTTTGAGTTTTGTGAATTTTGTTAATATAGTAAAAATTTTAATTTGGGGATGAGGCTAGTATATGTGAAGAGATTCTATAAAGAAATTCTTCTGAAAATTTCAAGTGTCGGGCCAGTAGAACTCGAGAAATCTTGGAATAACCATTTAATATCAACTTGATAATTTGATGATAGATAAAAGCTTTCAGTCTAAGCTTTCAACTTTTAATTTAATTGAAAGATTTATATTAAATCTGAGTTTGAACATCATACCATATTACAAAGGCTTAGCTATTAACAGATTTAACATAGTCATTCAAGTCTTTATAAATTTTTAATGAATATTTACACATTACCAAACAAAGTAAATCATTGTAGAGATGATTAATTATTTCAATAAAATATTGTATTTAGATATGATCAGGAATGCGGCCCTGATAATCCGTTAAGGTGTTATGCTGGAGACGTATCTGGTCGGCTCGGTGTATTAGACTTAGGTGTTGGTAGACAGGTAGATATATCATTTTGTTACGTTTAGTATAATTTATAAAGTATACCATTGAAACATATTTATTATATGTAACATCATTCTTTTTTATAGTTTGATTTATTTTTATCAAGCGCAAACAGAAATAATTATGAACTTTTCAAATTTTCATAGAATAATTTATCAATGGTAATGATAAAGAATAAATGAATTTTTATGTTAATAATCTTTTTATCTATTTCATTCTAGGTTTTTACAGATCCTCTCTTCCCATTAGAGGGCCCAGCTAATGCATTAGGACGATCATTAGTTATACTAGGACCAAATGGATCAAATGATCGATACGCATGTGCAAATATTGAACCTGAACATGATATTGTTAAATATGTTAATATACGCAGGCCACCCAAGTTTGTAGTAGCTCAATTTCTTCAGCAGGTAAATTATATGATATGCTTTATTTAAGAGGTAATATCAAAATTTATAGTCAAATAATTAAAATAAAATTGATAAATTAATATTTACTGCAATATGTTTTATTTCCTTAAAAATATTAGTATTATTAGTATCAATTATTTTTATCACTTCTTTTATATAAGATGCTTAACAAGAACATTATTTTAATTCAAATTTGATACTTTTTATGTATACTACATTTTATAAATATGATTTTATAATATTAGGTTCGGAGGGTGATGGGCTTACCACCATGGATGCTCTCAGTTGACTCTCGAAAAACCAAAATTTTGCATAATGGTGGTTGTGTGCAACTTGTGGTTCATTTTAAAGGACCGATAGCCGGTAAGTTGGAGCAGGATTTCTCTAGATTGGTGGGTTCTGGAAGGTTGGAAGAACCTACTTTATATATTCCTGGTTATACTGACAGCAAAAGAAAGAAATCTATATCATACAGTGTGTGTTCAACAACTGATAGTAGGAATAGAAATAATAAAAATTCTTCCAATTTAACTCAAGGTAATTTAATTGCTATGTTGATTGTAGTAATAACTATTTTTTATTAATAACTAGATTTAAAGTATTTTTGGCCTAGTCAGTGATTATAAGACAAATGACAATACTCAGAAGTTTAGTTACATTATTGATTATTAATTATGAACAAACTATAAGTTATTCTATTTCAAAACTTTGGTGATATTGTATTAGATTGCTCTAACATATCGAGAAATCTATATTTTCTATATCGATTTAACTTATTAAATGTGCATGTGAATTGGGAACTTCTATCCAATTTTAAGAACTAATGGCATACATTACTGGAATCGGTAGCTAAATTAGTAAATATACTATTTTCACTGTGATGCAAAATACTATGTGTATATAACTATGTTTATTTAAACATATATATATATATATATATATATATATATACTAAAAGATATTATTTTTTGATTGATTATGGGTTATCAAAATATATTTTTTAGTAATTTAAAACCTAAATATGAAAATAAATAAAAAATATTTTATAATACAGAAAACTAAATGAAAGGGTTATAAAAGTAATTTCATTCCTTCCTGTATTATGAATATACATATATAAATTTTTTAAGTATTTTTACCTGCGCACATATTAAACTTTATCATAAAGATGTATTATTATATATTGAACATAGAATTATTTTTTGAAACTGATCTATATATTTTGGCTTTAGTTCTTGAACTATTGAAATTTTAGCAATCAATGGTTTTAAATTCAAACTGTAACAAACTCTTTTATCATGGAAAAGATAGGTTTAACGATATTGCTGGTTATATTTACGATATATAAACTTTGAACTTTGTTTTGCCAGAAAATTTTATTTGATTTGCTAATTATAAGTTTTTCGATGTTTCTAGCCATTGTGAATCACTTGCCACTATGTTTGAAAAAAGTATCTAGATGTATGTTAGACAAAATTTGGCCTATCGTAAAAATATAAAAGCTATATCATGAAATGCAATAAGTGTTGATTAATTATACAAGACGATCGGCTGAACCGTTTTTTTTATAATTAACATTTAAGTGCAGACAGTTTTGTCAAAGATTTCGCCAAAAAGCCTGAACCAATAAAAATGAAGAACTTTTCTGTGGACCATTTTATTTGAAATATGCAAGACAATTAACTATTATTGAAGCAGTAGGTATTTGTGAACCATTTGGCCGGTTAATGAGACAAGATGAGCTCATCAGCTCGCACCGTATTCTTAGATAAAAGATATGGATCTAATTATTGATTTTCAACAAAACAATTCAATTTTACTTGCTATTAAATGATATTACCAAATTAGCTGATTATTTAAATATTTCATGTATACGAGATTTAACAATGGGTAATAGATTGGTCTACGATACACCGGACTGATTTCGAACATTCTATTAATTAACTTCCCGTGGGGTAAGTTATTGTAATGGGCCGATAACCGAAATTGAAAATTTTTACATTTCTCGACGTTTTGAAGGTTTCTGAACGTTTTGGCATACCTCAGAAAAAATGGATGTGTGTGTGTGTATGTATGTATGTATGGATACAAATTTCCAGTCACGTTTTCGGGCGCACGGATTAAACGATTTGAATGGTTCAAAAAACATTCGATTTCTATTGATAGGGAAAAGAGCTGATTAGTTTTTGGCAAAGGCAGGTCCAGCTGTTTCGGAGATACGGAGCAAAGAGTGCAGAAAATAGAAATAGAGTTTTTGAGATAACGGAGTATCCGATTTGAATTATCTAAAAAACATTCAATTAGTAATGATTGGGAGAAGTGTTTATTAGTTTTTGGCAAAGGCAGGCCCAGCCATTTCGAAGATACGGAGCTAAATGTGCAAAAAATGGCAGTTTTTGAGAGAACTAAGCGTCTGATTCAAATGATTCAAAGAACTTTCTGCTTGTCTAACAAAATAATTGTTTTTGGAAAAAAAAATTTTGTTTCAACTTTTTTTTTTCAAAAATTTTTTTTTTTTGTATATCGAAAATAATTCATATTTTATTTTTAATTCTGACTATAGTTCTAATATATTTTAAACAAATAATTTCAACTTTGTAATTCAGTTCATATAAATCTTATAAATATTAGACAACGTTACAATAATCTATTTGAAATATGCAGTATTCCTTGAACATTTCCTTACGGTACGGGAAGTTTCTGCAATTTGCCTTAAGGCACGATGCCATACACCCCACTAGTTTTTTTTTAAATTAGTGCTAATGAAACAAAATTTATTTTATTAAAAAAAATTAACAAGATATTTAAGGTAAAAGTCTTGGCAGAAACGCCATTTAATCTAATACAAATCGTTGGTGTTCATACAAAATCTCATTTGCGCCCGGCTTCCCCTATTTTTTTCATTACTTCAAGAGTTCGTTCATAGATAGCATTGTCATCGCTCAGAATACAGCGCAAATAAATAGACGTATATTTTGTTGCTAATTGAATATTGTGATTGTTAATAAAATAATTGTTTTATTTATTGTGACGATAAATGTTTTATAAAGGTGTATTCATATTAAAAACTGCTGAATCCACGTAAGTACCTGAGTAATTTTAAAGCCGACATTATAGTTGCTATTTCATGTACATCTATCTGTCAAATTAGTTATTTATTAGATTAGATTTACATTATTGAAAACTTCCCTGTTGAAAGTTTACTTAAGCATATTTGATTGAAATATTCAGTACTATAGTTTTTAGTTATTAAAGTTAAATGACATTATTTACATTGGATTTAAAAACAAAAATTACAAACCGACCCACATATAACCTACAATGTCGCTTTTCAGACGTTTGACGCTTTATAAAAAATCCTATCAGTTAAATTTGATTAATTATGTGCATCCTGGGCCTGAACTCAACATAATAGTCGTTGAATATTTGTGAATGATCTAAAATGCTATATTATATTACCTCAAGGCCACCGTGACGAAAATATTATGTTTAGTTCAAGGTCTTGGATTCAACCGCTTGGAGAATTTGAAATGTATGTATTCGGTTTTATTGATTGTGGCCGTTTTCATATTTGTGTAATTGGTTTTGTCAAGACCATTTTGTACGATAATGACTTATATAATTTATGCATACAAAGCATTTGTGTGATATTTGTTTTAGGATACAGATACAGCATATTATTTATGTGTAAACATAAGCTGACTCTATACACATTGAAGTTTCGCGATAAACATATTTTTTTATGCTTCTAATTAAATTTTTATAATTTTTTTGCTCGATTATTATAACGTTATCAATTTTTTTGGGTGATAATTGATCTCCGCGTGATTATAGATTTTTTTGAGGCATCATATTCACTTTTGCTTCTTCCCTTAAGGGTTAGGGGTACTTGGAGGCACGAAAAAATGAGAATTTCAATATTTTTATTTTGTTATTAAACGATGTTTTTACAAAAATATTATTACGGTATTATTATACAATGTTTTGACTTGAAGTAACAAAAATTTCAGAAAAAATAATTAATATTCTCAAAGTTATAGCTGTTTTTGTTGACCCTGTTTCAAAAAACGGTCCTGGCGGGGTGACCATCATAACTTCTTAGAGATTCATCTAAAGTCAATCAAATAAAAAAATAGTTTTATAAATAGATAATCCTGGGCCTAATCGAAGGTTTTCTTCTTTTTGCAAAAATTAACAAAATGGCAGCATCAGAAAAAAAAAATCTAGATTTTTGGGTAAAAAATCAACAGTTAATTGGTATTAAAAAATTGAAATTTTTGAAAAAATAAAAATCCTTCGATCAGGCCCGAGTTTATTATGTATTCTAAAAGCTGTATAAATTTCATTAAATTTACTAAGCGGTTTTTGAGTTACAGTGGTCACCGGTTCAAAAAACATAGTTTGAGAAAAACGCTTTTAAAGTTTCGCATTGGGTTACGTACAGAAATTCGAATTATTGAATTACTTAAACCGAGTCATTTATTTCTGGGCCATATAATAGTTCATCGGTCATTGTGCAAGTTTCCAAAATTTCCATTTGCTGTTGCCTACGAAGCATTCTGGCCTCCAGAGTGTTCTCGTTGGCGCGGTGATCTGCCGCTTTTACACGTGCAGCATCCAATTTTTCAGCATACCAATGGGAATTATACCCACCATTAGGTCCTAGGGTACCATAAACAATAATAATAATTATGTAAATGCATTCAGCAATTTGTACGATAGTAGAACTAGTATTCACGGTTTTTATGCATATTTTTTACGCTAGTTGGTTGAAGCTTTTAATTTTTCCTGATTATGGATTCAATCTTGAACTACACATCTTGAAAGTAAATTATCATTGCTCAGATCGTCGTAAATCGGTTTAAACGCTTTTAAAACATTAGGAGGTGAGAGAGAATAATCTTGAGTATCAGTATCGAGCTCTCCAATTGCGTCAACGAGCTGGTGAGAGTCCAATAACTCAAAAAGAATCATAGGATCAACTTGAAATTTTCAGAGAACATTTTCAAGATAATACACTTAATGAAATGCAAAAAAATAAAATCGATTTTTCAAAAATTCCAAGTACCCCTAAACCCTTAAGTTACGAATTCAATAAATATCAGGTTGATAAATAATTCAGTGTGGATTTTTGATTAAAAATTATGGAATTAAATAACTTTATTCCGTAAAGCATTATTGTTCATTTTGCTCAATGACTTTTTGCCATCTTTCAAGCAGCATTAAATTCCACTTTCACAATTTGGCTTTTATTAGCAAAAAACTAAATCAGGTACAATTTGATACCATCATAATCATTGAATTTTTTACCATCCAAGGAGTTTTACCATCCCAATCAAACACCAATATTTTTTGCCGATTAATCAAAGATATGTGAAGTCAATAATGTTGATTTATTATCAACGTTTTGGATTTCAATTTAGGCCGCTTTTCTTCAACTGCATTGTTTAATTTGGTTGATTGTTCAATATTGACATTAGAATTGATCGTTTGTTGGAAGAGTAGGAGTAGACAATTTGTTTGTAATCAACTTCAACTGGACGACCAGAGCGATATTATAAAAACTAGAAGTTTTAATATTTGTTCCTTGTAGACAAATTGTGAAAACTTATTAGATTAGACGACGTTGTTTACATAAGTTTGATTGAAATATATATAAACAAAATCTAATTAAGTGGACCTGTTGTTAGAATAAACATATTTTATTTTCAAATGCATCATTTTTTCGTTAACAATATTAAATAGTTCATGTAGTATCAACTATACAAACATAAAACGTATTAAAACATATTAAAAAAAAAATTACAGTATTCGAATTCGATCAGTTTGATTTTCTTATTATCTCCTATGGCGAACAAAAATTGCACTGACGTGCCAACCAACTCAGCTATAACGACATGTTCACGCACAACGCTATGAACGGATGTCTAGGATCTAATCGGAATTTCTGCACTTTTTGCTTTGTATCTTCGAAACGGCTAGACCTGCCTGCCTATACCAAAAACTAATCAGTACGTCTCCACATCAATACAATCGAATGTTTTTTAATCATTTTAAATCGGCTGATTTGTCCAGAACCAGCCATTTTTGCACTTTTTGCTCAGTATCTTTGAAACGGCTAGACCTGCCTTCGCCGAAAATTAATCAGCACGTCTCCTTATCAATACGAAACAAATGTTTTTGAATTATTCAAATCGGTTCATTGGTGTTTCCGAAATCGTCGACGAAAATTTGTGTCCGCACACGCACACGCAACATATACACAAAATATTCAGAAACCTTTGAAACGTAAAGATATATAAAAAATTTCATTTTCGATTTTTTTACCTTACCCTACGGGAAGTTAAAAATTACCTATCGAAACTTGGCAAGTCAATTTTGAAACTGCCCTTTTTCAAGGCTTCATCATAAACAACTCAAATCTTTTCGTGAGCTTAAGATGCCCTTTTCCATAGCAAAAATAAAAAAAAATATGACAAATGTTTTTGATTTTATTTTCCAACTTACAATGAGCGCCAAACGAAAACTACGCAATGGATCAAAAATTTTTTATGCTGATTGAGATTTGAACTGCGTACTATATATAATAACAAAATATTACATTTGGACTACGTCAGCATACCTGAAAATTCAATTGAAACCAGCTAAGAATGAAATCCGAATAACTTACTTAGTTACCAATCCACAAACCCTGAACCATATTTTGCTTTTAATCTTATATATAAAATGGAGCTCTCTTTCAAATGTCCGAATAAAACTCGAAAACGGCTGAATCGATTTGGCCAGTCTTAGTCTTGAAAAATTTGTGCCAATCCAGAGAAAGTCCAAAAGGTGAGAAATTATTTCAGATCCCGCGTAGAAACTTTACATTTTTAATTTGAAAATTTGTGTAGAAGCGTAATTTAAATAAAACAATGGACGGTGGCAATTTCGTGAAATGTCAAACGCTTTTGACAGATGATGTTCAATTACGTTTAATAGGATGTTTTACACGAATATTATTTATTTATGACAAATTTGTAGTAAGTAGTTTTGTTTGTAGTTTCATTTATATACAAAAACGTTAGTAAACGGGCCGCAAGTGTTACTAAGAGACTCAAAAATAAACTTTTTTGATATGTTAATATGAAATGCACTTTTTGGCATATTTTCTCAAA